ACTTCGAAATGAAAGCGTGGGTAGTAAGGCTTGTGGGAAGGAACCTAGATAGTAGGGTTACTTCGAAATGAAAGCGTGGGTAGTAAGGCTTGTGGGAAGGAACCTGGTTAGTAGGGTTACTTCAAAATGATAGCCTGGATAGTAGTGCTTGTGGGAAGGAACCTGGATAGTAGGGTTACATCGAAATGAAAGCCTGGATAGTAGTGCTTGTGGGAAGGAACCTGGATAGTAGGGTTACTTCGAAATGAAAGCCTGGATAGTAGGGCTTGTGGGAAGGAACCTGGATAAGAGGCTTACTTCGAAATGAAATCCTGGATAGTAGGGCTTGTGGGAAGGAACCTGCATAATAGGGTTACTTCGAAATGAAAGCCTTGATAGTAGGGCTTGTGGGAAGGAACCTGGATAATAGGGTTACTTCGAAATGAAAGCCTGGATATTGAGGCTTGTGGGAAGGAACCTGGATAGTAGGGTTACTTCGAAATGAAAGCCGGGATAGTAGGGCTTGTGGGAAGGAACCTTGATAGTAGTGTTACATCGAAATGAAAGCCAAGATAGTAGGGCTTGTGGGAAGGAACCTGGATAGTAGGGTTACATCTAAATGAAAGCCCTGATAGTAGGGCTTGTGGGAAGGAACCTGGATAGTAGTGTTACATCGAAATGAAAGCCAAGATAGTAGGGCTTGTGGGAAGGAACCTGGATAGTAGGGTTACTTCGAAACGAAAGCATGGATAGTGGGGCTTGTGGGAAGGAACCTCCATAGTAGGGTTACTTCGAAATGAAAGCTTGGATAGTGGGGCTTGTGTGAAGGAACCTTAGTAATAGGGTTACTTCCAAATGAAAGTCAGGGTAGTAGGGCTTGTGTGATGGAACCTGGATAGTAGGGTTACTTCGAAATGAAAGCCTGGATAGTAGGGCTTGTGTGAAGGAACTTGGGTAGTAGGCTTACTTCGAAATGAAAGCCTGGGTAGTAGGGCTTGTGGGAAGGAACCTGGATAGTAGGGTTACTTTGCAATGAAAGCCTGGATAGTAGCGCTTGTGGGAAGGAACCTGGATAATAGGGTTACTTCGAAATGAAAGCCTGGATAGTAAGGCTTGTGGGAAGGAACCTGGATAGTAGGGTTACTTCGAAATGAAATCCTGGATAGTATGGCTTGTGGGAAGGAACCTGGATAGTAGGGTTACTTCGAAATGAAAGCTTGGATAGTAGGGATTGTGGGAAGGAACCTGGATAGTAGGGCTTATGAGAAGGAACTTGGGTAGTAGGGTTACTTTGAAATGAAAGCGTGGGTAGTAGGGCTTGTAGGAAGGAACCTGGATAGTAGGGTTACTTCGAAATGATAGCCTGGATAGTAGGGCTTGTGGGAAGGAACCTGGATAGTAGGGTTACATCGAAATGAAAGCCTGGATAGTAGGGCTTGTGGGAAGGAACCTGGATAGTAGGGTTACTTCGAAATGAAATCCTAGATTGTAGGGCTTGTGGGAAGGAACCTGGATAAGAGGGTTACTTCGAAATGAAATCCTGGATAATAGGGCTTATAGGAAGGAACCTGGATAATAGGGTTACTTCGAAATGAAAGCCTGGATAGTGAGGCTTGTGGGAAGGAACCTGGATAGTAGGGTTACTTCGAAACGAAAGCCTGGATAGTAGGGCTTGTGGGAAGGAACCTGGATAGTAGGGTTACATCGAAATGAAAGCCTAGATAGTAGGGCTTGTGGGGAGGAACCTGGATAGTAGGTTTACTTCGAAATGAAAGCCTGGATAGTAGGGCTTATGGGAAGGAACCTGAATAGTAGGGTTACTTCGAAATGAAAGCTTGGATAGTAAGGCTTGTGGGAAGGAACCTGGATAGTAGGGTTACATCGAAATGAAAGCCTGGATAATAGGGCTTGTGGGAAGGTACCTGGATAATAGGGTTACTTCAATATGAAAGCCTGGATAGTAGGTGTTGATGGAAGGAACCTGGATAAGAGCGTTACTTCGAAATGAAATCCTGGATAGTAGGGCATGCGGGAAGGCACCTGGATAGTACGGTTAGTTCGAAATGAAAGCCTGGATAGTAGGGCTTGTGTGAAGGAACTTGGGTAGTAGGGTTACTTTGAAATGAAAGCCTGGGTAGTAGGGCTTGTGGGAAGGAACCTGGATAGTAGGGTTACTTCGAAATGAAAACCTGGATAGTAGGGCTTGTGGTAAGGAACCTAGATAGTAGAGTTACTTCGAAATGATAGCCTGGATAGTAGGGCATGTGGGAAGGAATTTGGATAGTAGGGTTACATCGAAATGAAAGCCTGGATAGTAGGGCTTGTGGAAAGGAACCTGGATAAGAGGGTTACTTCGAAATGAAATCCTAGATAGTAGGGCTTGTGGGAAGGAACCTGGATAATAGGGTTAATTCGAAATGAAAGCCTGAATAGTAGGGCTTGTGGGAAGGAACCTGGATAGTAGGTTTACTTCGAAATGAAAGTCTGGATAGTAGGGCTTGAGGGAAGGAACCTGGATAGTAGGGTTACTTCGAAATGAAAGCCTGGATAGTAGGGCTTATGAGAAGGAACTTGAGTAGTAGGGTTACTTCGAAATGAAAGCGTGGGTAGTAAGGCTTGTGGGAAGGAACCTGGATAGTAGGGTTACTTCGAAATGATAGCCTGGATAGTAGGGCTTGTGGGAAGGAACCTGGATAGTAGGGTTACATCGAAATGAAAGCCATGATAGTAGTGCTTGTGGGAAGGAACCTGGATAGTAAGGTTACTTCAAAATGAAAGCCTGGATAGTAGGGCTTGTGGGAAGGAACCTGGATAAGAGGGTTACTTCGAAATGAAATCCTGGATAGTAGGGCTTGTGGGAAGGAACCTGGATAATAGGGTTACATCGAAATGAAAGCCTGGATAGTAGGGCTTGTGGGAAGGAACCTGGATAGTAGGGTTACTTCGAAATGAAAGCTTGGATAGTAGGGCTTGTGGGAAGGAACCTGGATAGTAGGGTTACTTCGAAATGAAAGCCTGGATAGTAGGGCTTATGAGAAGGAACTTGGGTAGTAGGGTTACTTCGAAATGAAAGCGTGGGTAGTAAGGCTTGTGGGAAGGAACCTGGATAGTAGGGTTACTTCGAAATGAAAGCGTGGGTAGTAAGGCTTGTGGGAAGGAACCTGGTTAGTAGGGTTACTTCAAAATGATAGCCTGGATAGTAGTGCTTGTGGGAAGGAACCTGGATAGTAGGGTTACATCGAAATGAAAGCCTGGATAGTAGTGCTTGTGGGAAGGAACCTGGATAGTAGGTTTACTTCGAAATGAAAGCCTGGATAGTAGGGCTTGTGGGAAGGAACCTGGATAAGAGGCTTACTTCGAAATGAAATCCTGGATAGTAGGGCTTGTGGGAAGGAACCTGGATAATAGGGTTACATCGAAATGAAAGCATGGGTAGTAGGGCTTGTGGGAAGGAACCTGGATACTAGGGTTACTTTGCAATGAAAGCCTGGATAGTAGGGCATGTGGGAAGGAACCTGGATAGTAGGGTTACATCGAAATGAAAGCCTTGATAGTAGGGCTTATGAGAAGGAACTTGGGTAGTAGGGTTACTTCGAAATGAAAGCAAGGGTAGTAGGGCTTGTGGGAAGGAACCTGGATAGTAGGGTTACTTTGAAATGAAAGCCTGGATAGTAGGGCTTGTGGGGAGGTACCTGGATAGTAGGGTTACATCGAAATGAAAGCCTGGATAGTAGGGCTTGTGGGAAGGAACCTGGATAGTAGGTTTACTTCGAAATGAAAGCCTGGATAGTAGGGCTTGTGGGAAGGAACCTGGATAATAGGTTTACTTCGAAATAAAAGCCTGGATAGTAGGGCTTGTGGGAAGGAACCTGGATAGTAGGGTTACTTCGAAATGAAAGCATGGATAGTAGGGCTTGTAGGAAGGAACCTGGATAGTAGGGTTACATCGAAATGAAAGCCTAGATAGTAGGGCTTGTGGGAAGGAACCTGGATAGTAGGTTTACTTCGAAATGAAAGCTTGGATAGTAGGGCTTGTGGGAAGGAACCTGGATAGTAAGGTTACTTTGAAATGAAAGCATGGATAGTATGGCTTATGGGAAGGAACCAGGATAATAGGGTTACTTTGAAATGAATGCCTGGATAGTAGGGCTTGTGGGAAAGAACCTGGATATTAGGGTTACATCGAAATGAAAGCCTGGATAGTAGGGCTTGTGGGAAGGAACCTGGATAGTAGGGTTACTTCGAAATGAAAGCCTGGATAGTAGGGCTTGTGGGAAGGAACCTGGAAAGTAGGGTTACAACAAAATGAAAGCTTGGATAGTAGGGCTTTTGGGAAGGAACCTGGATAATAGGGTTACTTCGAAATGAAAGCCTGGATAGCAGTGCTTGAGGGAAGGAACCTGGATATTTGGGTTACTTCGAAATGAAAGCCTGGATACAATACGCCAAAAACGAGTTTTGGCATCGCTACATAGACAGCGCTTATGCAAAAGCGCTGCTGTAGGTATCCAAAAAAAAAAACTTTAGACAACGCTTACTAAAAGCGCTGCTATAGGCCTCATCAAAGGCAGCGCTTTTTCTCACTAAGCGCTGCTATAGGGTTTTAAAAAAAATTAAAATTAAAAAATTAATAAAAGCGCTGCTAAAGGGTATGCTTTAGATAGCGCTTTCAAAAAGCGCTGCTAAAGGTGTAAGTCTAAAAGCGCTGCTAAAGGGGGGTAAACCTAAAGCGCTGCTAAAGGGGGTACCTTTAGCAGCGCTTCTTGAAAGCGCTGCCTTTGTGTAAATCTAAAAGCGCTGCTAAAGGGGGGGTAAGCCTAAAGCGCTGCTAAAGGGGGTACCTTTAGCAGCGCTTCTTGAAAGCGCTGCCTTTGGTTTGTTAATTTATTTCTAAACCCCTAACCCCTAAATCAGATTTCCAGAAACACAAATCGCGCTGTTCATCTTCTTCTCCATTCGTCATCTCCATTACCCTCCTCTCAAACGGCTTCATCTTCATCGGTTTGAAATTATCTTCATCTTCATAAATCGCTGTCATTTATCAATAACGTGTTCTTCTTCATCTCCAAGTAAGTGTTCTTCTTCATCTCCAATAACATGTTCTTGCTGATCTTACCTAAACCTTGCAAATATTGACCCAAGTTTCCATTATCAATATGTTCGTATACAAGGAAAAGCGATCCCTCAACACAATATCCAATCAACCTCACCTATGTTGTTCATAAAAATTTAGGTAAATTCAGAACATGGTTCATAACATAAATTTAACCTGTTTATGCAAAAAGCTTAACAAAGATTTTAACAATGAAAAACATTGAATTAAGTAGTTTGAAGGATGTTATACCAGATTCAAATGATGAACATGTGTTAAGACCTTCAACTCACAAAGAAATTATGTTGATGCTTGTACATTCATTTTCTTAATTGCTGTTTTCTGCATAGAATAATTTGAATAAGAGGATAAGATATCAAACACTAACAAAAAATAAAAATTAGTCACTGCAGTTTCATACCTCGCCTCGGAGTTCGGCATAATAGACAACTACGAATCCACCTTGACCAATTTTATTATCCAAACTAAAGTTATTTATAGCCTTAGCTAGTTCTTGATATGAAAACTCTGTTGACTTTGCCACCATAATTCCTGTAAGCCCAACAGCACTACCAGTACCATACCCACTAGATCCTGAAGTTTCATATTCTCCACTACCCGAGGCTTCACCAAGAACAGAAAGTTGTTTTCACAAGTTATCGCAGAAAACTTATTGAAATAAATAAATACTAACTTTTAACAGTATCATAAGTTACTTTCACAAAAACTATCATTACCATCTTTAGTTGAAAGCACCTTAGAAATTTGGGGCAGTATAGTTTTCTCTTCTTCCTTTTTCTGGAAGTATTGTTGAGAAACTTTGCATAGATATCATTATGAGTGTAATTAGATAGCACAACAGTTGGTTCATATGAGTATTCACAATATCACCCCATAATAGCCTTCTATTTTCCAAATCATTACTAGCATAGATAGCAGTTAACCAGAAGTTTTGATTCTACAAAGAGAATAAGTTTAAACAGCTTCAACTTACCAATCTTAACCCTCACATTTTGATTCACCTTAATATTCTGAGGTAAATTACCTTTCTCTTGCAGCTGCTGCTGCAAAGTATTTACTAAACCAGTTGCATCTTGTGTTTGACCTGTTAAAGGTAGATTAAGCACGGTTATATTCCGATGACCCTGATAGAAATTCGGCAAAGACCCTTCACATAATTCTGTTTCTTTATATAAAGCACTTATATTGCTTCCACTTACATAATATATTCCAATCTTCTTGTTTGGATTTCTAGCAGTTACTGTTACATCGAAGGTAACAAAAAGATTGTTATTATCAGACAGATTGAACTGTGCTATTCTCAATCTGTCTACTGAGTATTTAGGAAGCTTTGGCCTAAAAACAAGGTAGAGTGTTCCAATGGTGATGGATATTGCAATAATAAGAACCAATGACTTTGGAATAGCTTGAGAAATAGATTTTATAAGAGTTACTATGCCAGCATAGGATAGAGTCTTTTCCTTCCAACTTTGGAGTTTATCTCTGATTCTGTCCACTATGTACCTAAAACTTTGATTTCTAGACTTGTTGATCTGAGTAGGGAGACCCAGACAATGTTGAATTGGATCAGACAATAGGAATGTTAAGAATATTCTGGAAACTTTCCAGAGTTGAATTGTATTTCAGATTTGTTATAATTAATTTTTTGTCCTGAGGTGTCTTGATACTTCTGAAAGATTTTGCTTAGATTTCTAGCTTCTTTTGTTGTGTCCTGGCAAAAAATCAGACTGTCATCCGCAAAGAGGAGATGTGTGATGTTAGGACCTGTTTTTGCATCTTTAATTCCAGTAATAAGGTGACTAGTCTGAGCATGTTTCATAAGAGTAGAAAATATGTCAGCACTACGAACGTGCAAATGGTCAAGTGCTCAGACCAAATGATACATTGTGGTGTCTACGATATACATGGTACCTAACTTTACTTGATGACTGCAATTTAATGCCATAATCAAATTGAAAACAGAAAGCGATTGTGGAACAACTTGGTGAATATCTATAGGAAACAACAAGGATCTTGGATGTTGTTAGGCGATTTCAACAATGTTCTGAAGTGCACAGACAGAATAGGTGGAAGACAAATCAAGGAAGCAGAATACAGGGATTTGCAAGGGTTTATGGAGAAGGCAGGACTATATGAAATGGACAGCAGGGGTGAAAACTTCACTTGACCAAATAATCAAAGTGGATGTCCGATCTATTCAAGGATAGATCACCTAATTGGTAATATAGAATGGCTTCAAGACCATATGAATTATACTCTTGAAGTGATGCAGCCTAGTGTGTCGGACCATGCATACTATGTTCGAAGCAAATTATGAATGACAGGCGAAGGAAGAAGAACACCTTTAAGTTTACAAATTGTGTTGCAGACATGGACCACTTCATGTCGAAAGTGAATCTCAGCTTGAGGGAGCCTCTTGCAGGGCGACCAATGGTTGTAGTTTAGAGAAAACAAAAAAGGCTACAACCTATCCTAAGGGAAATGTCCAAGCCTCTTGCGTATATAAACAAGAAAATAGATCAGGAAAGAATGGAATTAAAGCAGGCTCAAGAGGAACTTATAAATGCTAGGATGAATCCTGTGAAAATCAATATGGATAGAAAGTGTAGTGATACCTTAATTGGTTGGCAGGAAGTAGAAGAGAAAGTGTTGATGCAGAGATCCAAGTTGAATTGGCTGCAACTGGGGGATGGAAATAATAAGTATTTCCATGCTTCAATTAAATCCAGACGAAATTACAATAGTACTTTGGCCCTACAAAAGGAAGATGGAATTGTCACACATAGTGAAGCTGAGACTGTAGATGAAATCATGCAATTCTATAGGCAATTGGTGGGAACTGCAGAGGATGAAAGAAAAAAAATTGATATATATATGATGAGGGGTGGTCCTCAACTGAATAATGAGAAAAGAGAGATGTTAACCAGCCCCATTCCTGAGAAAGAGGCCGTTGATGCTTTGCAAAGCATGGATAATACAAAATCCCCCAGAATATATGGATATGGATATGGAGATAGGGGAAAGCTTTTCTGTTTTCGTTTCTTTTGAACAACTCCTTGAAGTAGTTAACAAAAGTATCATGAATATCTTCCTTTTTATAGGTTAGATCCCCACTAATATTGAGGATAGAATTAATTTTGTTCTGTTGAGTGGCCTTCATGCAGTTTTTGGTACCAATGACGCATTTAATGACCATGGCAAAGGGAGGGTTATTAGCTATGTGTTTCTTAGTGTTAATATGTAATGGTATATTCTTTTCATTTGTCCTTCTGGTGTAATTGATAATCTGTCAACGTGTTGTTGCATATCTTATACTAATATTTTAATAACAACAATTATTTTTGCTGGCCTGGAAGACAATTGTGTGGTCTGGAGAGCGTATTACAGTGGTGGTCAATTATGTATTGGCTTTTTCGCGTGATCTTGAGTCTGAAGTAAACTAGTTTTCAATTCTATTTTTATCTATGATTTACAGGTCGTTGTCTCCTGCCTTTGCATCAGATTCGTCATTGGAGTCAATCGGTGCACCATCTCGGATAGGGCTGTTAATTGTTGGCGGTAATTTGGTGTTGATTCAGGTCATTATATATTTGGAATTAAATATTTGTCATTAGATACTAATGTTTTTCTTTATTATAGGTTAGATGGCTAGTAACGAGGAGCACCCTCACGATGATTCTATTAATGATGGAGACAATGATGGAGGAAAATCCAGTAAGGGAGTGGAAAAAGAAATAAAAAGAGGAAAAACAATAATGAAGAATATCATTCGTGATAGAGATAAGGGTATAAAATATGATGTGCATTGGAGTCCAAATGACCAATTAATTGAGCCTAACGGTTCTAAATTGACAAGTTACATTGGCACACTTGTAAGGAGAGAAATTCCAATAACTTTTGATGAGTGGAGAGATGATAAGCTGAATGATGCTAAAAACAAAATCTGGAGTGAGATACAGGTACTTTAAATTATGTCTTTAAATTACGATTATGTACTTTAAATTATGTCTTTAAATTACTTATACTAACGCACTTTGTGTATGTTTTTTGTAGAGGTCTTTCAACATTGATGACAAAAGAAAAGATTATTGTCTTGGATTGGCCGGAAAAATACTGAGAGGGTTTAGAACATATTTAAACAGAAAATATCTTAGAGATGGCGAAAAAAAATTTGTTGATGCAGAGCGTCTAGAAGAATATGCGGATGTGATTTCAGTTAAAGAATGAGATGTTTTTAAAGCCAAACGGAAAACCCCAAAATTTCAGAGTGTTAGTGAAGTAAATCGTCTAAGAGCATCATCTCCCGCATATCCATACAAAAAAGGGTGTTTGGGATATGCATGATTAGAACAAAAAATAGTAAGTATTTACAAATTGCAATGATATACTTGTTCATCAATAGTTATAACTGAGCTTGTTTTTTGTGTTAATGTGTAGTTAAAAGAGGAGAGTAGTTCAGAAACATCTCTTCCGGAGCATGTTTTATGGAAGGCTGCCCGTGTGGGTAAGGATGGAGTTCTCAAAGAAGATGTACAACAAATTTTTGAAAAATGCGTAAGTATAACATTAATTCTAATTAAATCAAAATTTTATTAACATATAGTATTCATGTTTTTCCAATATTCATATGATTTTTAGGAGAGTCTGTCTCAGTCTACATCTCCACCAGATGATTGCAGGAGCATACTTAGTCGAGCATTAGATGTTCGTGAGTATTCTGGTCGAGTGAGGGGTAAAGGACATGGGGTTACTCCAACTTCCTTGAAAAAGAACAATCCAAAGACAAAATCTGCTAGCAATAAAGAACTGCAGGCCAGGTTGGATGCATTAGAAGCTGAAGTTTTTGAATTGAGGAAGGAAAAAGCAAAACAATACCAATCAGAAAGGGTAGCTTCGGGTGTTAAAGAAGCTAGTGACATAGCTAGTGTCATTTGTGCAGCTCAACCGAGTATTCCCGAGGTACTTACATATATTATTATGAAATTAAATTAGTGTAATTTATTTAACTGACATATATACACATTAACGATGTCATATTTATTATTGATTTTAGGGCATTTCACTTTGTCAACTCTTTTTAGAGACACCAACTTATCGCATGGTTGGCAAGGGAAAAGTCCATAACACTCTGGGAGAAGTACTTCATCATAAATCGCTCCCTTTTGGATATTTGAAAGTGTCGATTGATATTGCTTTAGAGGAGGGTGCGTTATTACCAATCCCAGATGAAGTTTCGGATGCAACATTGGTGAGAGAGGCAATAGGAGCGTTTGTTGCATGGCCGTCAAGGCTTGTTCGCATAGATGATGAGGTATAATTAAAACCTTTATGAACCTTTTAGTACTCAAATTTTTTACGTTCGTTTTACTTACATTTTTTTTGCATGGTAATGTTAGACTCCTACAAAACCCAAACCAAAAGATAAAGGGATTACGCGGCCAGAGGAGTCAGTGACAGCAAAAAAACAGGTACAACAAAGTTATATGATATTTATGATTAGATAATGTTAATTTGTCGTCCTATACTTGAACACTCTAATTTTATGATATTTAGATTATTCCTACTAAAGAGATTAATGAAGCTGTAAGTATGGGTAAGGAGCCTGTAATTAGCAACATTCCCACAGAAACAAAGAGTGTTGCTAAGAGGTTCGGGGCTAGAAAGAAAAGTACTTCACAATATAGGTCGTGCCTTCAGACATTTATAAGCTTCACAACTATTTCGCAAGGTGGTACTTCTCTTATACCCCTGCATGAAGGGATTTATGGTTCTGAAGGCATGACAACAATTGGTAAGGAGGATTTGGAACAAGTTTTTGGACACTTGACATTAGGCATGGCTGTTATCAATACATACATCAGGTATACTCCAATCAACTTTGTTTAATTAATTGAAAAATTTATTTACTCATTTCAATGAATAATTAATGTTAATGATGTTTTTATTTAAGGTTTTTGTATGACAAGTTGATTCGCCCGTGTGGATTGGAGTCCATATTCGCTTTCATAAATCCCAACATTGTCTATGCAGGGTCAATAATCGCAAAACCAGATGAAGTAATAGCATTTGTGCTCAGTTTATTTATGGCCAGCAAAGATACAGAAAAATTGTTCTTTTTATTTAAGGTTTCATTCTAAATTACCTCTATTATAATTTTTCGTTTTTTAACGTTGGGCAGAAAATTTCCATCTAACCTTTGTTAAATATTCCAGTGGACACTGGTTATTGGTTGCAATTAATCATGTGAGAGAAATTGTATATTATCTGGATTCATTGGGCAATGATTGGATAACATACTCAGATATGAAGAAGACGATTGACACGTAAGTGACATTGTTCCAAAATATTACTGTGTATATTTAATTATTTATGTGCGATAGTTCTAAATATTCGTTATTATTTTATTATAGCATTCTACAAAGTTTTCGAGCACAAAGAGATATTCAAGTACCAAGGAGTAGAGTCAACAATATTTCTTGGATCAAAGTGGAGGTATAGATTTTCACAGTTTTGATTATATACCGATGATACTTGATAAAACAAGTTAAGGTGTATATCTTGATGTATATCCGTATTTTCTTTCCATGTGTAGTGTCCTCGTCAGCGCAATGGTGTAGATTGCGGTTATTTTATGTTGAGGTTTATGAAAGAAATTATTCTTTTGGACCGATTAGAGATTCCATCCACGGTATGAATTTCTAACTTAGGAATTATTTTCATATTTCTCATAAACTGACTTAGTATTTTAATTAAATCATACTATGTTATATTATTATGTAGTACTTTGATGAATTCAAGTGTGCTTCATACTC